TTTTTTTCAAAACAAACATGAAATGTTTTGTTCCAATTCAGGCGATCCAGTCTATACTTGTATGCTATGCGCATCACATAGTAATCTAGGCTAATAACCGGAATAAAAACACACAATGTTTTCAAAAATAGATATCATGGTTAGTAGAGGCCGTTCTTTGATCGGGCGAGCGGGGGGTGCTCACGAAGTGACCTTCCCCAATCGTACCCAAGTTCCCGAGTCGAGGCAACTCTGGTGATGACGGACACGTGGCCTTAGGCAACAAGTCAGGGTTTCCTAAATTTTCCAACAATAAAATATTTAGGTGGCGACTCTGTATTTGGCAAAGCAGTCCATGTTTGGCACTTCTTTCAAAAATCTGTTTTTCTCAAAACGATTTGCCGAATTTGGACTCTTTGGTTCAGATTTAGAACCGTGACAATTTGAGAGTCCTGAGCTGTAGTGACCCCAAATGAACGGAACGGGAGCTCACCCTCCCGGGACATTCGGGGACGTCTACAAGTGACCATGTATGAATGGCATGAACCGACTAAACAAGAATTCTTATACAACGAGTAACCAATTTAGATATGCACGATACAAAGTATTGGATTCTCTTTTGGATAGGCACTGAAATGACAAGAAAGGCTGAAATGCTAACAAAGGTATATTATTAAATTTCACCTACTCAATAGTATTCATTTGAGCAATGTACCTAAAAATAAAAATTTAAACAGAGTGATTGTGTACTTTAGTAGTCTTCTTGGTTTAAATCAAAACACATATTATTGTGATTTAAAATTGTAAAAATATTACTGTCACATTATATTGCATGAATTTTATATATAATCTCATTTTCCAGTTTATACATATAAAAAAAGAAAAAAGTTAGGGATTATGAAATTTTTTTCATAAAAATGATCATGAAAGATTTATGATCCTTGAATTACCTTGATTAGTGTGTGGTGCTTTATTCTAAATGTGATCCGAGAATTACAAATTTTTTAATGATACCTGACATTGTCCATAAAAAAACAGAAACAATAACAATATGCCAAAAAAGAAGAATAAACATGTGATTAGCATTAAGGTTGGGGGGAGAATTTCAAGAGGCACGCTTTAGATTGAATCAAGGAGACACAACGACTGACTAATTCTCACACGGGTTTAAGAGAATGTCTCTTTGCATTGGTTACCTAACAACTTACATTAAAAAAATTAAACCTTCATAAAGATCACCAAGAAAATTGACCTTTTTAAGTAGAAAGACTGACATCAAAGTATAGTTAAACAACATAAAGTGATAATGACTTTCTAGCCCTTGATCTTAATCATAGGTGTTATAATTACTACCCACTTTTCCTTTGAAAAGTTGGCTTTTTCCACCCTTACTTTTTCTACTTCCACTCATACTTTTGCTATGCCAAGAAAGTCATCAGCACAAAGTGACAGTGGAGGCAGCAAAAACTGTAGTGAAAGTGAGGCCTCTTTTGGGAATGGTGGGTGCATCATGATAGTTATAATTAGGAGAGAGAGAGAGAGAGTTGTGTTATCAATTACGGAGTGGTTCTCTACCTCTTGATCACAGCAGATCTAATGATAGAGGTTATGATGGTATTGGGTTTTTTAGGCATAAAGTGGGTTTGGAGTGCTTATTATTGATGATAGAATGATCGTGGCTATGATTATAGGTTTAGGATTTGTGTTTTCCTTGTGAACTTCTATAAAAATTTACTTTCTTTTAATTTTTTTATTTTCTTATTTCAAAACACTTACAACTATTAAAATACATAAAATCTCAAAATATGAAAATTTTAAAATATATTTAATAATAATGAGTGTTTCGATATAAGAGAGAAGAAAATTTAGAGACAAAAAATTCCATGCCAATATAAATTTTGAGGGTTGATGACCTTTTCAATTCTTGGGGTGATGGATTGGATTAGGAGTAGTTTGGAGTGGGAAATGGATTTGCATGGGAAATGAGTGGTTGTTGTTGAATGGAACTGCAGGAAGAGGAAGGCTTGGACTTGGATTGGGACAATTCACTAGGTCAAGCTTGTGGCCTAGGGTTTCTAGTGCCTTAACTTGTGACCTTAAAAACTTGAGATAATTTGCAGCTTCATCAAGCATTGATGCAGTGTCCATCTTGCTCCCACCTGGAACCAGCCTCTGCAAAACCCTAATTCTCTCACTTATCCTTTCTCTCCTCTGCCTTGCAGCCACAGTCTGTGGATCAGTTGATATTCTCACATTCTTCCTCTTAGGCTTCTCTGCCACCTCCATCCCCAAATTCACCGGTCTGAATGCAGCTGCCTGGTAAAACATCTCCTTCATGTGTGCAATGGCTTCTGAATCCGGTTCCTCAACTGATGACACCGATGAACTTAGCTGTTGAAAACTGATATTTGATGAACTTGGACACTTCTCCGACCTGGTTTTCTTCGATTTTGGTGGATTTTCTTGAATTATCTTGAAACCCCCTCCTTCTGTTTTTGAAGAATCGATTCGAATGAGATTGTCAAAGTATGAACAACTGCTTCTCTTGTTAGTGTTAGGCTTAGTGTCCAATGGTCTAGCTTGAGAGACTGTTTCATCGAGTTCTAGAACTTTGTTACTTGCAGACTCCACTGATGAAACAGCATTGATGGAACCAAAGTTCCACAAGTTTTTACAGTCTGAGAATATCATGGAGATCCCATGATCATCTCCAACTGATGTATCAGTATCGCTGTTGGTTGCTGAAAGCAAGCAATCAAGTGACTCTAGAGAGTGTGTCGTCGAATCTCTGGCCTTTCCATCTTGTAACCCATTCGTCGAAATGCCAAAATCACCCATTAGAGTACCCAATGAGTTCATCATCATGTAAGGCCTGTTAATTGAAGGGGAAGAAGAAGAAGAACAGAATTGTCCAATAGCTTCATGGCGCTGTGGAAAATTCGAGCTCGAGACAACACTAATGGAATCCAATGGTGGTACTGAGTGCCTTTCCATTTGGGTTACTCTGTGATCTGAATTTGGATTGCCATGAGATGGCTCATTAGCTTTTTGAAGATCACTGATTGAAGCAAAGATGTCTTCTGGGAAGCTCCCTTCTATTTCATGTTGCTGATGACTCCACAAGGATGATGTGTTAGTGCCATCCCAACCCAAACTATCCATTTAATGACTGAGTTTTTGATGTGAAGCAACTCTGTAGAATGGAAAAAATATCTCAGTAAGATGAAATAAATGAAGGGTTTCTTAATATCCAAACAGAAATATTAAACTAAATATATCAACACCAAGGTTTTGATTAGAGAGATGGATCGATATTGATTACGGTGTAGCTGTAGCAAGATTATTAAGTGATATCTATCAAGAATGATGCATGTCATAAAGTTTTTAAAACCCAAAAAAAAAGTGCTTTATAATAGTCAAACATGTTGTATCAGCTATAAATTAACTCATGAGTCATGAATTGGTTAAGAACTATTACGTATCGAGAATCAGCCAACATATGCATATGATTTTCAATCCTACTAGGCTACTAGTATATCGGAGTGTATTGGTTTCAAGATAGGTAAAACCGGCCACCGTAAAAATAATTCATAGTTTCAACATATTTATGAGCCTCGTGTATGTCAAAATTAAGTTGTGATACAAAAGAAGAAAATTCAAAAAGAAATTAATTCATGCCATAATCAAACTACAATGCAAGGAAAGAACTAAGGGTTATGAGACATACCAAGTCCAGATCCAGCTACAACCAGTGGAAGAAAGCCCTGAAAACCGGCCGATCAAACTCAATTTTTTTTTTTTTTTTTTTTTTTTTTTTGTGTTTTGAACTTTTTGTTGCAACGAACAGATCAAAAGTTGGATCAAACCTCAGCTTTTATATGACAATCTGGTATACCAGCTCTAACCACCTTCTTTAATTCAAATCATGAAAATCTGTGAAAATAAACAAAAACAGCAATTGCTGACATCAGTTTTAGCAACTGAAAATTTTGTCCACCATGACAGTAGAGACAACCTCAAAAGAATCGCAAAAAAACTGCTTCAAGAGCCACTTGCAATATATCAAAAGACAAGCAAAGAAGAATGATTGAAGAATAAAGGTTTTTTTTTTTTTTTTTTTCACAGAATGGGGTATGTATATAGAGAACAGAGTTGATGAGAGGGTTTGTCATAACTCATATATACCTTAAGCAGCCATGGAGGACCAATCTTGATTCCTTGTGTTATGTTGGTTGGACTTGGATGGTAAACAAAACTTATATAGAAAAAAGGAAGAGCAAATGGTCTAGCTTGTACTGCTAGTTGTACTAAAAAAGCATGTAAAATAGACTGTCTCGCAATACTGGTAATTATTTACCGTTCATGTGCTACTTCTAATTAATAATATACTCTTTTTGCCTCCAAATATATTTTTTTTTTTGGAAAATTCAATATTTTTTTTATCACACAATTATTACATTTCAAAAATATTAATGTTAATGAATTTAAAAGAAGGGTAAAATAGAAAATTCATGTTATGTTAGTAATTGATTTTTGAAAATAGACTAATATTTTGAGACAATAAAAAATAGAATAAGGGACTAATATTTTGAGACGGAAGGAATAGTGAAGACTTTACAAATGAGACATTGCTGACCGGTTCTTGCTAGATAATTAAAAGATGAGGAATGGCTCACCTATAATGTATTTTGTGATTCTTTATTTATCGAAAGTATCACGTAAATAATATCATATAACTCTAAAATTAATATTTCGCTCGAAATACGAGGCTTTAGCCACTAAAGAGTCTAGACCAGGTTAGATGTACATAAGCTTACCCTCATGTATGAACTAGTTGTTTTCGTAATTTAAACTTATAATACTTAAGTTATAATAGAGCAACCTTACTGTTATGCCTAAATACGAGGGGAAGAAAGTGAAAAAGATGAAACTTCATTTTGCAAAAATTGAAAATATTTAAGACAATCCTGTTGTTCATGTTAAAAAAGTTATGTAAAAAGTGTATTAAAATGTATACAAATATTTTGAAATATGTGAAAAACAAATTGAAATGATGGATTTTTTAGCCTATTGTTGTGCTTATTGACAACCTTTAAGACTGTTATTAGTATAACTCAAATAATAATGAGTAATGTTAGGAATCGTGAAAAAAAATGTCATGAAAAGGATCATGAAAGATTCTCCACCTTTGAATTACACATACAATAAAACACCACACACTAATCAAATGATGAAAAATCTTCATGATGCATTTCATGATATTTTTTCATCATCCCTAACATTACTCAATAATAATACTATGACACTTATGTATTTTATTTAACATATAATATGTCACAAATGAATTGGAAATAATCGAATTGGTTAAATCAATACAATAATATATAACTATTAATACATGAAAAAACAATTATTATAAAATTATTATTTGATAAAATATACTAGTTTGAATATTATAATGGGGGTTTGGAAAAAGATAAGGTCTTTTGGTCAGTTTGGTGGGGCTGTAAGAGTATATTTCTGCAGATGGGAAGCATGAGATGAGATTGCAGAGAAGCATTTTGGATCTTAAATTAATAAAATAAACAATTGTTTTCTCATTTGATTTTGATTTTTTAATTTTTATATACATATAATTTAATACTTTAACATATTTGTAAAATTTTTGTATAGTTTAATTGAGTGGGGAAAGCTCTGACCTCCTTTTGGTTGCTCATGCTTGCTATTAACTCCATGCGCTCTGTAAAGTTTCAGAAATATGCAGTGATAGTGAGCATCTTTAGCAGAAACCACTCTTTTTCCTCCCCAAAAAAAATTAATTTTTTTAAAACAAAATCCATTAATCATAGTCATGGTTGATTTAGCTTTCCATTTTCTATTATAGTACATTTATTATTGGTAGGAATTTGGAAATTAAAATAAAAAAAATTATAGGTAAAATATTAATAAAATATAGTTAATATTTATTTACATTTCACTTACAATTTCTTTTTTTCTGTTCAAATTCTTACTAAAATTCATAATTCAAATACAATCTAAGAATAATGACAATTTTCATGATTTTTTATGATTGTCACACTAAAGTGAAAAAGTTAGCAGTAAATTTAATTACAATAATGCTATATATAATGGATTCTTCATCAATTTTTTTTTCCCACTAAACAAAAAGGTTATAGGGTTCACACTATTAAATATACGTGAGATCCATGATTTTGTATCTAATATAGTAAAATATTAAATAAAACAAATCATTTATGTATGATATTTTCCTCTTAAAAATCTCAACCATCTATGAATTCTTTTAATCATTGTTGAAGGAGAATTGGGTGTTCGACATCCAATTAAAAAAATTACATTTAATTTTTTTTGTTTTTTGTCTTTAGCATCTTTTTTTTTTAAAATTATGTCAAGATTTTTGTACACAAATCTAAAAAGTTTTTAAAAAAAAATCATAAAAGATAAAAAAAAAATTAAAATTTATTTTCAACTTTTTTTTGTCCTTTATGGACTTTTATTTTTCAATTTTTTTAATTTTAACTTTTTCTTTCTGTGTGATGGAGTAAAACTTGAAAGTGTAAAGTTTTTTAATTTTTTTTTAAAAAAATCATTAAAAATGATTTTAAAAAAAAGAAAAAAAGAAAAAAAACAACTCAAAACACCTACAGAATCAATGAATACTTGTGCTTTGATAACATATAGTTTTTTCAAGTTTTGATATCAATTTAAAAGAGTGTTTGGACTTAGTAGGCTTATTTTAGAACTAATTTTGGTGATTCGAATCATTTATTTTTTTTGACTCATTGAGTAGAATATCCTTACAAAAAATCAAAATGATTGGATATCGGTAGCTATATGTTCGAATCATATTTGTTTTTAAAAAATAGACGATAAATATAATTTTAATAATAATCATCCATTTTTTATAATACAAATTTAATTTAAACATACAATTACTGATATCTAATCATTTTAATTTTTTATTGATGTAGGACAAGATTTTAAGACTTTGTATTTTTAGTTTTGATATTTTTGATAAATTATTTTATTAGGAATCTTGTAATTTAGTATAAATAATTTAGAATTATTAGGTTTCTTAATTTTATTATTTTAGAATTAGATTTTGACTAGGATTTTAAATAGTTAAGAATTCCAGTTTCCTATTCTCTTAGGTCTCCTAATTTATGTTGATTTAAGTTTCCTAATTTATTTTAAAATTACTTTTCCTACAAGTATTAGATTTAGTTTATTATAAATAGCTATGTAAGCCTCATGGCAAAGACAACTTTTATACAACTTTTATTCATTCATTCAATAATATTTCTCTTCCTTGTGGATTCAAGGTTCTATTTTTCTCGTGGATTCGAGAGCCCCTTTCGTCTACTAGAACGATATCTAGTCCCCGTGTATTCCGCTGCGTGATTGTTGAAGAATTTGCAGAAGAAATCAATAATTCTTAACTATTTAAAATCCTAGTCAAAATCTAATTCTAAAATAATAAAATTAAGAAACCTAATATTGCTATTTTAGTAGGCTATTTTAGTTTT